ACTACACCCCAAGACCAAGACTTGTCCCAAGACTCAAGACCAGATAAATATTAAATTTAAATTATAAATTGGATTTGATTGATAAAAATGATTAATATAGGGAATGTTTGGTGATAAGATTTTGTGATTATTTAAAGTTTATTGAACTATTTTGTGTTGTCTTTAAAATTCAAAATAAAATAGAATTATAATTCACTTTTTATTTATTTTTCTATATCAAATTTTTTAGTCATTTGAATTAATCTCCAACAGATTTAGTCTAACAATAAGCTAAAAATATATTTATTGAAAATATAAATCTCGTATTCACAATAGATTGAATGGAAAAAAGTTACGTAGAGAATGTACTTAAATAAAATTATTTTTATATTTAGAAAATAATCCTTTTAAAAATATAATATTTTATAAAATAAAAATGTCTGTAATTTTATTTTTTATAAAAATTAAATTATTAATTAAATTAGATTAATTTATTAAATTTAAATAAATATTAATTCTATAATTATTTTTTCTCTAAAAATTTTTTAAAAAAATTTCTGAAAATTTCTGAAAAGTTTTTGCTGAATATTTTATTAATCGGATGATATTAAATTATTATTCAAAAATAATTATTCTAATTATTTTTATTTTCATAAGGATAACAAAATCATTTAGATTCGAGGGTAAATTAATTTTATTAAATTAATAATAATAGCAGAATTATATAGAAATCGGGCTGGGAATCGAAAGCGGGATTTCGAAAAATTCTCTACACGATAACCGAGATTTTTGATCTAGATCTCGTCTCGGTCCGGTCTCTAGTAAGAATTAATCTTAAAATACCCTCAAAACTAACTAATTTTTTGGCCATTGGGTGCCTAAGGGATACCTCCTACTTTAAGATTACAGCATGTGATAAGCTAGGATTTTTTTAGCTTCTAGTGGGTATCTAAACATTAGTTTAGACTGAAATAAAAAAATTAATTTTTAAAAATAATTTAAAAAAATTTCAAAAATAGAAGTTGAAGAAAAAGAAAATCAACAAAAATATTTATTTGAATTAAATCCACAAAAATTAGAATTATTATTTCAACGAGCAGCATTAATGGCTTTATTAAAATCTATAGCTAAATTAAAATTAAAACAAGTAAAACAAACAGAAAAAATTTTATTTAATGAATGTTTAAATTTAAATAAAAATTCTTTATCCCCTTTAAATTATGCAAAATGTTTATCTAAATTAATTGAATCTAAAAATTTATTTGATGAAAATGAACAACAAAAACAACAATTAAATTGTTGTAATGGAATTGTTGAAAATACTTTGGTCTGTTTATTTAATTTATAAGAATTTATAAACATTTTCCGGAAAATGTTTTGATTGAAATTTATTTGTTTTGTTTTCCGGAACATGTTTTGTTTGAAATTTGTTTGTTTTTGCAAAATGTGTTTTTTGAAATTTATTTATTTTGTTTCCCGGAAAATGTTTTTAATGAAATTTCTTTGTTTCGGAAAACATTTTCGATGAAATTTATTAGTTTTCGCAAAATGTTTTGTTCGAAATTTATTTGTTTTCGCAAAATGTTTTGTTCGAAATTTATTTGTTTTCGCAAAATGTTTTGTTCGAAATTTATTTGTTTTCGCAAAATGTTTTGTTTGAAATTTATTTGTTTTCCGGAAAATGTTTTGTTTGAAATTTATTTGTTTCAGGAAAACGTTTCGGATGAAATTTATTTGTTTCCGAAAAATGTGTTTTTTGAAATTTATTTGTTTTGTTTTCCGGAAAATGTTTAGAATTAAATTTATGTTTTCGGATGTTTTGTTTGAATTTTATTTGTTTTCCGGAGAATGTTTTGTTTAAAATTTGTTCGTTTTCGTAAAATGTTTTGTTTGAAATTTATTTGTTTTGTTTCCGAAAGATGTTTTAAATTTATCTTTTCGGATGTTTTGTTTCGATTTTATTTGTTTTCCGGAAAAGAAATATTCCTAATTAGAAAAATTAAATTTATTTAAGAACTGGTTTTTAAAATTTCCAAATTATAAGCAACATTCAATTAATCAGAGGCAACAAAGTAGTATGTTATTTGCCTTATTAGTTGATTAAATTTTTTATTAAAATAGTCAATAGATTAGCTTTAATTAAAAAATTGAGAAGACAATTGAACACTAAAAAGAAGAAAATAAATGTTAACTTTAAGGCAAGATCGAAAAGAGCTAAAGAAAATTTGGGTAGATTATTTCATTGTTTTTTATTTAATTAATTTATTATTTAGAAAAACACAAAAATATAGAATTATTAAAACGTTTTCAATGGTATTTTGAACAAAATAAGCAAGTAAATGATTATCTACAAAGAATTAGTCAAAATAATATAAAGTTTCGATTTTCATTAAATTTTATAAAAATATTTTAAAGTAAAATTAATAATTATTTACCATCAACTAAATTAATTAATTATGGTTGGCAACAAAAAACTTTTGATTTGGCTGAACAATTAAAATTAATTTTCGAAAAAACATTAAAAGGAAAGGATAAAAATTTTTCTTTACTCTCTCCAAGAATTTTTTCGTTATTTTCGAACGTTAAAAATAGACAAAAATTATTATCGCCAGATTTATTCAGTTTTGGAGATAATGGAGATTTTTCATTGCCAAAAATATTTCAGGTGATGAAATTTACCTAACACATATTTTAATTGTTTCTGAAAAAGTTTTTGAATTATAAAACAATGTTTTTTCACTAAATGTTTTAAATCGGGAACTAATGTTTTCCGGAAATGTTTTTAAAATAATGATTAATGTTTTCTGGAAATGATTTTAAACTAATATTTAATATTTTCTTGAACATGTTTTTGAATTATAAAACAATATTTTTCCAGAACATGTTTTTGAATTATAAAACAATATTTTTCCAGAACATGTTTTTGAATTATAAAACAATTTTTTCCGGAATATGTTTTTGAATTATAAAACAATGTTTTGGTAACATGATAAAACAATGTTTTCCGGAACATGTTTTTAAATTATAAAACAATATTTTTCCGGAACATGTTTTTGAATTTAAATCAATGTTTTTCCGCAACATGTTTTTGAATTATAAAACAATGTTTTTCCGGAACATGTTTTTGAATTATAAAACAATGTTTTTCCGGAACATGTTTTTGAATTATAAAACAATGTTTTTCCGGAACATGTTTTTGAATTATAAAACGATGTTTATCCGGAACATGTTTTTGAATTATAAAACAATGTTTTCCGGAACATGTTTTTGAATTATAAAACAATGTTTTCATTAACATGTTTTTGAACTATAAAACAATGTTTTTCCGTAACATGTTTTTGAATTATAAAACAATGTTTTCCCGGAACATATTTTTGAACTATAAAACAATGTTTTCCTGAACATGTTTTTGAATTATAAAACAATGTTTTTCCAGAACTTGTTTTTGAACTATAAAACAATGTTTGCCGGAACATGTTTTTGAATTATAAAGCAAAGTTTTTCCGGAACATGTTTTTGAATTATAAAACAATGTTTTTCCGGAACATGTTTTTGAATTATAAAACAATGTTTTTCCGGAACATGTTTTTGAATGCTAAAACAATGTTTTTCCGGAACATGTTTTTGAATTATAAAACGATGTTTATCCGGAACATGTTTTTGAATTATAAAACAATGTTTTCCGGAACATGTTTTTGAATTATAAAACAATGTTTTCATTAACATGTTTTTGAACTATAAAACAATGTTTTTCCGTAACATGTTTTTGAATTATAAAACAATGTTTTCCCGGAACATGTTTTTGAACTATAAAACAATGTTTTCCTGAACATGTTTTTGAATTATAAAACGATGTTTTTCCGGAACATGTTTTTGAATTATAAAACAATGTTTTCCGGAACATGTTTTTGAATTATAAAACAATGTTTTCATTAACATGTTTTTGAACTATAAAACAATGTTTTCCGGAACATGTTTTTGAATTATAAAACAATGTTTTCATTAACATGTTTTTGAACTATAAAACAATGTTTTCCGGAACATGTTTTTGAATTATAAAACAATGTTTTCATTAACATGTTTTTGAACTATAAAACAATGTTTTTCCGTAACATATTTTTGAACTATAAAACAACAATTTTTTGAATTATAAAACAATATTTTCCGGACCATATTTTTGAATTATAAAACAATGTTTTCCGGAACATGTTTTTGAATTATAAAACAATGTTTTCATTAACATGTTTTTGAACTATAAAACAATGTTTTTCCGGAACATGTTTTTGAACTATAAAACAACATGTTTTTGAATTATAAAACAATATTTTTCGGACCATGTTTTTGAATTATAAAACAATATTTTTCCGAAACATGTTTTTGAATTAATAAACAATTTCGCCGGAAATATTTTAAAATAGATGTATAATTTAAACATGTTTTTTATTAAAGTTAATTTCACTGGATGAAATCGAAACGAATGAATGGTTGGAAATGTTATTGGATATGAGTGGGGCCAACAAGCAATTATTAAAATTAATGGAAAAGCTCCAACCAGATATTGAATATTTTGAACAAAAAATATTACCAGCAGTTAAAAGAATTAAAGAATATGAAAAGAGAATTGAAATATTAAAAACAAGTTTGAGTGAAGAACAAAAGATGGATTTGTCTTTACATCAATACACAATTTTGGATAAATGGCAGAGAAGGGAGATATTAGGTAACATGATATGGATATAATTTACTACATATGGAAAATTTCTTTGGAACAAGTCAATGAAATTTTTGTAAAATTTCTTAGACTTTTTTAGAATATGCTTCAGAACTAAATTTAAATGCTTTCCGGAAAGGGATTTGTTTTTCAAAATTTTTATTTCCCGGACACCTTTTTAATACATATAACATAATTTTATATCTACTTAGACGAATCCAATCCTACAAAAATTGATATCTCAAAAATTGAGGAAAAAATAATCAAATTTGCAAAATTTGGTGATATTCAATTACACCGAATCAAAAGAATGTCTGAAGAAAAGTTTGAAAGAATTAATGATACTGAAGGGATTTCAAACAAAACATTCGATTTAAGCATATCACCAGAACAGGAAAACAAAACAGAAAAATATCCAAAAAATATTCTGTTCGCACCCTTTGCAGATGTAAACAGAGTTGATGGTGTTGTACTTGAAGGGGTTAATTGAATAAAATAAAAATAATTTTTTAAAATTAAATTTTCAAGGTGTATTTATCACCGAGCGCTTTTGGGACAGAAATTGCTTCTCCAGAATTTATGACGGTACAAAATAATTTTTTTAATTAACAAGGCTCATGATTCTTGAAATCTTTAGCCTTGTTATAAAATTAAAATCAAATTAAATTAATTATTTTAATTAAAAAGATTCAAGTTCTATCTCCACAAGCATTTGTTGCTTCAATTCTCTCTCCAATGGCTATGATTGCTCGAATTCTAGGCCCATGGGCGTTCAGAGCTGAAGTTCTTTCACCTGAAGCTTTTAGTGCTTTTATCTTAAATCCTGATGTTTTCATGGCGGAAGTGCTAGCTCCAAAAGCTTTCGAAGCTAGAATACTTAGTCCGAAAGCTTTGTTTATGCAAATACTAACACCAAGTAAAATAAAATGATTTTATTATTAATGTTTTTTTTGAAAAATTATTTTGAAATACAGTCGACCCTTATTTTTAGATACATCCAGAATTTGATACAATTAGCTTAAGATACACCCACTGGGTGCTGGAATAAAACGTAACCCAAAATTAGGGTACCTCTTATTATAGACAAAAGGATGTTTCTAGAAAAGAGGCCATAAGGGTGTATCTATTAGCCCAAAGGATGTATCTAGAAGGGAGTTACGACGGAAATAAAAGAAAATTTATTTAAATAATTGACCAAATATTAAATTTCTAATGAATATAATTATTATAGTTGGAGGTTCTCCACGAGTTGCTTCACCTGAGACTTTGGGAATTGTCGTTCTAAGCCCGAATTTTCTCTCACCTCGATTTAATTCAACAGAATCTTTTCTTGTTGAGGTTAATAAAGATAGAAAAAAATTAATTAAAAATTAAATTTTAAAGGTTTTGTCTCCCCATATTTTGGGTGGTAGCCACGAAGTTAGTGAAAATGAACATGAAGAGATGGGTGGTGCTGTTCATATAATCGGTGCTGGGGAAACAGGTGAAGGAGAAGGAACTGAAGGTGGTGGTAGACTTTAATTATCTTATTTTATACTTTATAATGATAATTTGCCATTTAAATATTTAAAAATTTGTATCGTATGGATAAAATAAATTTCCAGACACATTTTTTGTAGGCATTATACAATCGGACTTCTTGAGACTGAAAACTTTTACTCATTATTGGGGGCGGGGGGGGGGGGTGCGACTTAGATTTACAAAATCCCAAAGTCAATAGGGAACGTCCTGACGTAAGAAATAAATTCCCAACGTCGGGAATCGGAATTCTCAACACAATAAACAAAAATATATTCCCAATGTCGGCAGGATCATTATCCATAGTCACTAAGCATTTTTATTGCCAATGTTGTTGTAAACATATTTTGTAACGTTTTTAAGATCTATTATCAAACTCATAATTTGACTAATTATTATTTTTTAATTTTTATATTAAATTTTTATATATCGTAAATACTCTAATAGAAGCCCAAGGCTTCTATTTTTCAATGGGTCGCCTCAGATGGGCTCATACCTATTAGAGGTGACTTCTACATGAGGTGGGCTTCTATTAGAGTATTTACGGTATTTTTACATTTATATTTTGTACATATATTGTGTGAGCGTATTTTAATAGATAGCTAAATAATTTTATTTATTAATTGAAACAATCAAAGTGTATTATCCAAATAACGTTCAATAAGATCATGAGACTTATTTTCAGCTTTAAAATGCAGATATGTATGCATTTCACGAAAAGCTGTATCAATTTGGAACGATATATTAATTAAGCGAATGCACTCATCCAATCGTCTAGCACCCTCAATTACCCCATATTTATTTTGTTGATACTCAAGTAAGATTCTCGTGTATTTAACAGATTGTTCGTATAACAACTCTCTTCCATCGTATGATAAGCCTTCAATAGCTTTATAAAAAATTAGGTATATTTCTTTAAATTTTTATTAATTTTACTTGATTTTGAGAATAAAATAGCTATTAGTAATGCATATTCCTTTTTGGATAATGCCGCTTTTTTAAAAGGAATTACAGACTTTGTAAATATCCGATCAGCCAATGTGAACAATCTGTTTATTAAATAAAAATATTAAAATTGTAGGTATTTCAATTTAATACAGTCATATTTCGCTATAGGATACCCCCTTGAGTTTCAAAAAATTGTATCTCATAATGAGGGATATTTTAAATAATGGGTATCGTTTGGATATCTTGCTAGATCCTAAGTTAAAACCGTATTTTAAATTGAGGTGTATTAATATTGGGACACACCCAAGGACACACCCAAGCCATAACCAGCTGAAAAATTTCTGGACCTTATTAATTATGGTATGTACTAATCTCTTTAGCTCGATGAGAGAAATCGTTTAATACTAAAGTCGTAAATCTTGAAGCAAGTTATGGCTTTACGCCTACTTGGCTTTGGGGCCGCCATTAATATGTAGTGAGGGCTGACTGTAACAGGGAAAAGCTTACTTATAATCCTCCATAAACTCTTTGTTTCTAATAACACCAAGAGCAGGCATAACACAATCCTTACGTGTCCAACTATCTACGCCCAGCTCACATGATACAGCTGAACTTGCAAAGCAAGCAAATGGACTTGCTACGTGTCTGCAAAGTTCAATCTATAAATAAAACGTTTAAAATTATTTTGTTTAAATCATTCGACCTTATCAGTTAAAGACAATTTATCGAAAAAAGGCAACGATTTTGCCGTAGCAACACATATCAGCTGATCAACTTGAATACATTTATATACTCTTTTATTAAACACCCCTTCACGTTCATTGTCTAATTCCCAGCTAAGCATTTCTTCTCGAGAAATTGGACGAGGATTTGGCTGGAAGTGAGTGAAATATTTCAGTAAATTTTTTTAAATTCACCGAGAACATTTCAATATGATCAAAAATATTAATTCCATCGAGAATAATATCCTCAAAACAAATAAATCTGAGCAACTTTTCGTCTACGTCAGTAAAAGCATGCATAATTCTCTTCTGATTTTCGGTGATTTTCAATATTAAACTAAGTTGCTTCTGTTCAATAACTGATTTAACGACAATCGGAGCAATAATCTAAAGAAATTATACGATTTTTAAAATTAACGGTAACATCTATTCCAAGTAAAGTCGGATCTAACTCGAAGATAGACCCTTTGGGATTGAGATATTTTATCCTATACTGAGGTTATCATAAATAAAAGTTATTGTTTTTAAACCATCCATCGGAGGCCAACCAAATTTTCAAAAAATTGCATCCAATATTGGGTGTTACTATAGAGCATTGGTCAGTCGGAATTCCGATTTCAGACTTTTGAGCCATTTCTGATTTCCGACAGTTCCGATCTAATACAGTTCCGATTTCCGGCACCTTCGTCATTCCTGACCGACCTCTGCTATAGAGTGATCTTATAAGGTCAACCTTTTGATCTTCTAAACTTTCATTATTTATCAATTGCTGTCTGAATGAATCTTCTATAGAGCAGATTTCAGGAGGATATTCTGATTTTGTATTTATTAGAAGATCATTTTTAGTGCATAATACTTCCAAAAGGTATGTTGAACTTATATTTGTCAGTTGCTTTTTATTTGATGAACCATCTTTTTCAGAGTAAAATCTTGAAATCTCAAGAGCTTGCTCTGGCTCTTTCATTCCAACAGAAAGGCATTTATTAAGATGACATTTCTCACAGTCTATCAACCTTAAAGGTGTCTTGAATCGTGCTGGAAAACATTTGCATTCAAATTTGATTCCTTTATTTTTGAGATAGATCCTTTTTAAATTTTAACTTTAATCAAAAACACTTTTAGAACTTGAAAAATGCCGCACAAACTCTACAACAATCAACATTATATTGATGAGAAACTTTGAAATTAGAACCGCATATTTGACAATTATTAACTAAGTTTCTTTTCATTTTAATATGAATAATTCTAAAAATTATTATAAATTATATCTTTACACGATTTCAAGGGTCGGTCAGTGGCATTCTCCTTTCGTCTCCTAGAGAAGAGCACTATAGTACCTTAGTGACTACAAACTCTTTTTTATACTAGTTTAAAGTTATTTCAAATAATTATCCATGGTAACGGGAAACGGCGCTAGTACCTCTCACCCTCACCCAGTCACCAACAAAATAGAAAAAGGTAACTTAAACTGAAAACATTGAATTTAGAAATATAAATGAAGTTAAACTATCACTTAAAACAGATTTAAAAAACGAAAAGCAAAAGATTATAAAGGCAAAAATCGGTTTTATTCGGAACTTGCACTGTTCTAATTACATTAATTTATTAGATCCATAAGCCTCAGACTCTTGAAACTGATCCGTATTTCAAGTAAGGTTTTCTATCTCAATAAAAACGGGGATAATTATATTATGAGTAAATTTAACAAAAATTTATAATTTTAATAATTAAAGTTAATTATTAATGAAATTGTCAAGAATATATACATGTATATGTAGTCGATATAAATTTTAAATGAAAGAAATGGCTTTAAAAACTTAAAAGGCTGTAAGGATTTATTAATTTCCATAGTTCATTTTTATTTAGTTTTATAATTTTTTATAATTTCTAAACTGCTAAATACACACACATAACGCTAAAATTAAATAGAGACGAACCAAAAAGTCCACGTTAGTGTACCATAATTTCTCAAAAATATTTTTGAACCAATTTGGTTAACTAAATTTGAACCAATTTTAAAGTGAAGTTTGAGCATTTTTAGTAGTTTGAAATTTTTTATTGTGTAATTAATTTTATTTTGAGTTTATTTTTAAATTATATTTTATAGAAAAATAATTTTTTATTGCCGTTACTTTGAATGATGGATTTTAAATTGATCAAAAATTTTTTTTTCTATAAAAACTTGTTCTGAACAAGTTGCTTCGGTTTGCAGATCCTGGGATCTGCCAGATCCTGTCCGATATCCAAACTAAAATGGAAACCCGAATCTTCGACACCGGTTCCGAGTTTTTTCAAATCTGACTACAGCTCTGGAGTCGAATATCCGGATCTTGGAACTGAATCGAGGATATTAGATAATCATATCCTTCCCGAATATTTTAGGAAGGCAAAGCCTTATGGTGCTTAATAGGATTAATACTTAATAGCTTTATGGTGCTTAATAGTGCTTAATACTAATAGGACCCTGATAGTATTAAGGGTAATATCGAAGGAGGATTGAGAATATCTTACTCGTGGTATATTAGGGCTTCTTCCTAGGTATTATCACCGCAAGTGAAAACTTTTGAAGGAATCCATAAGTCAAAAAACCACGCAGTTTACGCAATCCATTGAAAATTTCTATAATCCAAAACCTCAGTATAAATTATAACAACTCAAAACACTCAAAAATTCAAACATTCAGTTAAACTAGAAAAGGTCATATTAACATTTTGTCAATTTGCCTGCCTTCTCTAAGATCAGAATCAATTTTAATCAATGTAAAATTGATTTAGATCTTTGTTAACTCTCTATCTAATAAAATTTATTAAAATTTATTATCCCTCTTCCTTCCCATTATCCCCCTCTTTCTTGTCTTTCACATCTCTTTCCCCCCTTACCCCCCCCCCTTCCCTCGCAGCTCCTTACCCCTCCTTTCCCTCCGCTCGCAGCTCCTTACCCCTCCTTCCCCTCCGCTCTTCCCTACCCCTCTTCCCCTCCGCTCTTCCCTACACCTCTTCCCCTCCGCTCTTCCCTACCCCTCTCTCCCTCCCAAATATATTCTCAAACTACTTGTGGCATTTTACATACATATACATCCATGCCATTTAATTTTTTCTTTCTTAATTTTTTAATTTTTTTAATTTAAAATTAAATTTAAACATAGCATTTATAAAAATAAAAAGCTTGTAAACTCTAAGAAATTAATTTTTCAAACTTTTGTAGGAAAGGCAGATTCATTTCCCAATTAATCGTATTTATTATTATTTAGTAAAATTTACTTTTTAGTGAAAAATTTTTATTAATACAAATATTTATTAGCTGAACAAATATTAAATATATAAAAAATTTATTTTCCTTTAGAATAATAAATAAAAATCATTGTTTATTATATTATGTCGGTAGGGATCGAAAATTCAAAAAAATTCTTTTCAATCTGAAATAAACTAGAGAATTTGGAGGGTGGAAAATGAGATTCCGTCCTGGCCCTGTTGTTCAACTTCATTTTTAATTTAAAATTTTATTTATTTAGATACCGTATATCCTTTAATAACTACCCTGGGTAATTATTTTTTCGACCTACCGCTAAGGGGAGTAATTAATCGAGGGAGGGTAATCATTCTAGGTTTGAAATTTGAACCTGTTTTGGGCATTTGGTGGTGGTAATTATTGTTTCAATCTATCGATGGATGGCGTAATTAATGGAAGCGGGATACTTAATTGAGGGAGGGCAATTAATACTGGTTATACAGTACATATTGTTTTTTATATATAATTTTTTTAAATTAATTTTCAAATCAGTTTTTATTCGTAAATGCTGAAATAATTGCCCTCTCTCAAATAATTACCCCCGCCCTAATAGTTACCCCCTCAGAGAGAGATCGAAACAATACATAATTACCCAGGGTAATTATTTCAGCATTTACGGTATCTTATTATTTACAAGATAACAAAAAATTTTTTTTAAAAGATGTATTTATTTCAATTATTTATTTTATTTCTTCATTCAATTCCAAATTATTCTACTCCCCCATATCCATACCCCATATCTCGTAAGTTATAAATATATTCAAAATATCCACGGAAAATCGCCAAATATGGCAACGTAAAAACATCTTGTTGGCTTCTCACTTCAAGTTATATCCACATAGAAAACTTTATTTTAAATTCAAAATTTTATTGTTATGCATGTCCTAAGCAGAGCTAAGTTGAAACAAATATCGAACTCGAAAATCGAAATTTTATGAAAAAATTCGAAGATCGAAAATCGAACTCGAAAATCAAAATTTTTAAAATAAATAAAAGAATATTTAAACCAGCGATGGGCCGGGTTGAGAAAAAAGTTGGGTCGAGTTAGTTAAAATTTGAACATGAAGCCAGATTTTTTAGAGATGTTGGGGGATATCAGATATTTAGGGAGTTAATACATATGTGTATCCTCTCTCTGGTCCTAAAGTTTATAAAAAATTTTAAAGAAAAATTAAAGAAAAGTTCAAAAATAATTTTTCTTACAGTTTTGTATGGTTGGTATAACGAGGCATTTTTGCATGGAAATATTGATGTTTATGGAAATAAAGTGTTGGATTGGCATTATTCTGAATACCTCGGTGATATAAATTCAAGTAACGAAAAAATGACAAAAATAGCAATTGTTACCCAGACAATATTATTTAATGAATCGTCTACTTTATACGCGACAAATTTGATAAGGATAAGGTGTTTTTTCATCAATTTTGTTTCATACATAATAATAGGGATAGGAAAAGTTTCTGGCTTTATTAGAACGGTTCTGATGAGACCGGGAAATGCATATTCTGGCCTAGCCATTACTCTTGGATTCCCTAATCCTGTCCGGGGTTTCTCAAAACTTTTATCTATATTAATCAAAATTGATTATTAACTGTTGAACTTTCTTTCTGAAAGATTGTGATAAGACAAGGACGTTGAATTATATTTTTCCAAATAAAGTTTAGCTTTGTAGGGATTTTTTAAAATTCTCTGAAATTATTGGGCTTCTCTATTTTTCAAATATTAAAGGGAAAAATTAAAATCGAAAAAAATTATTATAAATTATGATTGTACCCCCTCCGGAAAATAATTTATTTTTCAGAAAATAATTTAAAATAAAAAAAATTTTTTTAGTCACTTACTATTTTGGCTTCATTATCGTTTTGTAAGCCATTATAATTTATGTGGTATATTGCAAGTAAGACAAAAGTTGAGCGATTTTTTAGTTTCAAATGGTAATGATAAATATGCAGAAAGAAATTTACCTGAATGTGATCCATCGTCACCCCAAATAAATAAACAAATTTGTGAGAGTTATGCTCACGTTATTGACGAAATGAATTTTTTAATGTTTTTGAGAAGAATGGAAACGGAAGAATTTCAACAGATTATTAAGTAAATATTTTGATAATATCGTTTGTAAGCCATTTATCCTTCAGCTAAGATAAAAAGTTAATTAGGCGGCTTGAAGTGAACCAGACCTTGCGTCTATAGGGCAAGACCCAGTGGCCTTAGACCCTGAAACGAGTAGAGTAGAAGTCGTTATTGAAATATCCGACTGTAGTATAGTATACCGGCGGAAATTGGACTTCCAATAAGATTTTTAAACGCCTTTATTATTATTAAAAACATGTTTAATATTCTATTATGTTAAGAAAAATCTCCAAAAGTAAAGCAAATCTGAAAAGGATTAAAGAAAAACTTGATAATTTATTTGGTAGTGCTAGAACTGAAATTCTTCGTTATGCATTGCCTGAATTTAATTATGTTTTTGGTTAGTTTTAATAATTCTTATTTTTTTTCTTTATAATTTATTCCAAAGAGTAAGCATTCGGTTGTTGATATAATTAGTTTCTAAATTCCGCTCTCTATCTATGTTTGGTTAATTGTAAGACCGGGATCATCCTGAAATCACGTGACGATAATGTCGCTCTAAGCTTTGCGCTAAGTAATATGTAGAAGTTCTCAGATAAAAGGCAAAGAATGCCATAAACGGCCATTCCCAGAGTTATTAGCCGCCCATTATCTAAGCTAAACATCGCCACTAACTTATCCTTGGGAAAGTAATAGGGAAGTAAGCTGGTGTTTATAAGCTTTAATGGAATAGGCAAAGGCAGATCACTTTTTCATTCATTCAACAGAGTTTGCCCATCGAGTAGTTGGAATTAGTTATCCTGAGTAGAAATACAATGTAAGCGAAGTATCTCTTGAAAACTCATTCTTAGAAAATATACAATAATCAAGTATATTTTCATTTTTTAATTTATAAAGCTTTTGAACGATCAGAATTTTCTGAGCTTAAAGAATTTTATATGACCTATTTTGATGATAGTTTATTAATTTTGAAATGGAGGAACAAACAATATATTGAATATAGTTTGATTATTGAAGGTCTTATATTTTTATTTGTATTTTACATTAAATCTAGGTCTATTTTAAACATCGTATACCGTATATACTCTATCAATTACCCTTCCTCAAATAATTACTCCACTTCTATTAGTTACTCACTCCAATGAAAGGTTCAGGAATAATTGCCCCCATAAAACTAGTTATAATTAGCCTTTATTAAATAACCTCTAATAATTACCCCGCCTCAAATATTTAATACTCTCACCAGAGAGAGAGGTCGAAACAATAATAACCCAGGGTAATTAATAGAGTATAACGGTATGTAAAATTACCATGGGTAATCATTTTCAGCCTTCCTAGGAGAGAGAGATTAATTGTAAGGGGTAATTATTCGAGCATACAGGGTAACAGTTTTTAAGGTGGCCAACTTTTATTTCCTTAAATTAACGGCAAATATTATGTATTTTATTGTTGTTAACTACGTAAGGATTGGCGTGTTAAAGCTCTTGAAAATTTTTTTGGGTAAATCTTTTGACTTAACTCCTCAAAATCTGTTATTTTGTTTTTTAACACTGTCAGTGTATGTCTTTCTAATTCGTATAAACATAAATTTTAAGACAAAAATTTCGACGACGAAGAAAAGATGATTTGGTCAGAAATGACCAAATATTATTGGTATGGTGATACAGAAATGCAAATACAGTATGTCGAATTAAACGAGTTAACAGAGAAACAAATTGCGGAAAATATTTCGGTTACCTTTTAATTAAAAAATATTTCATTTAATCAGACGGATCACTTTTAAAATTCATAACCTTTCTAGGCCGATAAATTAACTTTATTTTTGACAAATTCAAAAATTCACTCCGACATCCACGATCCCCAACTACTTAAAATTTAGGCTTATTGTTAGCACTTAAATTTAATATCTGTTATTATGGAGAGCGACAATAAACTGGCTCAGGATTTGGAATAATCCAGATCCCCTCAATCCCTCAAAATCCCCTACATATATACCCGATATCCTTCCAAATCATTATTCATCCAACTACACTCTGTCCCAAAGTGTAGCCTCAGTTAAAATCACTGTTACAAATAGTAGCTGCAAGTAATGATTGCATAATTAGAATTTTTTCAAATTTTAAATATAGTCTCAAAATGTCTTTTTGCATTATGTATTAAATTTCAATTCAAATCCGTTAACAACTTAGGGACTTAAGCCACAAAATTAGGTGGATGTATATGTCGGCGGAAAATTTCAATTTTAGGAAAATTTCAATTTTTCCGGAAAATTTCAAATTTTCCGGAAAAATTCAAATTTTCCGATGATTTAGGAAAATTTCATTTATTAATAAAGTTGTCAGTTGAGTCTGGGCTTGTTTTATGTTTTTTGGTGTTGTTTGTGTTTTTATGTTTGTTTTTGTTTTTTCTGGGTTATTTATAAGTTTCTTGATTTAGACAAGATTACCATGTATAAGTTTAGATAAAATTACGACACGAAAAACAAACAACATAAACCTATGGGGAGTCGGCGAGACGCTTGTGCAAAACACCGCGCTTCGCGCGGTGTTTTGCGGCACGCGTCTCGCGGGAGTCAACGGTCGCTGGGTTCTACAATAGTAACATAATCCTATTCATTTAATGATTTTCATCATTGAAATGTCGACCTACCCATTCAGCAGTAGCACAACAATTTAAAAAAAAAGAACTAAAAAACAAAATTGAACTAAAAAAGTTAAAAAAAAGACAAACAAACCAAAAAACAAAACATAAAACAAAAGAAAAGCAAAAAAGAAAAACATACTCAAAAAACGAAAAATATGCGAAATAGTGCTAGACAGACTAATAAATTAATTTAATAACTGAAATTTTCCTAAATCGTCGGAAAATTTGAATTTTTCCGGAAAATTTGAAATTTTCCGGAAAAATTCAAATTTTCCTAAAATTGAAATTTACCGCCGACATATATTTTTGAGACAGAGTGTATGTATATCATAAAATCGCTACGAAACTCACAGATATTTATGCTGCTTCAATTTTTATTAGGGTAATGTGTAATAGTGTGTTATCCTAACGGTACCTAATTTTTTGTGTATCTAAAAATAAACTGTATAAAAAAATTAATTTTAGCGTTATTATTTAAATATTGAGACAATTGTTGAGAAAGAATTACATCCAAAAACACCGTCATATATTTTAGCTGTAAATGAGGCTATTGAGGAAATTAAGTTAAATACTAAAATTGAGAAGAAAAATTTAAAAAATAAAGAAGAAAAAATTAAAAATAAAATATCAAATATTAAAAAAATTGTTTATAAAAAAATGAAAAAAGATAATTTGGTTAGTAAAAATTGTGAGTCAAGAAGGAAAATGCATGCAGATAAGCTTGCCGAATTTATGATAAATAAAAATAATGCGCTTGAGGAAGATAAGTTAGAGGATTCGATTAAAAAGACTACAAGTGATTATTTTAAATTTAAAAAATTTTTATTCCAAAACTATTCGTGTGGGTCGGTCTGAAAACCGACAAAAAACAAATCAAAAAACTTAAGATTTTGTTTCGACCTCGATTTTGTGAAACAGATAACCATATCAGGTATTTATGAGCTCTCGACTCGATATAATTGTTGAGCAAGTAAAAGTTAAGCAAAAGTTTAGTCAACGTACAGGAATCAGCCTGAGTCAATTTTCTCTTTATTTTCTCCCTATGTTCGTTTAACTCGCGTCTAAGCGTTTTAAATGTTGTCGTTATATGAAAAAATGACTCTCGATCCAACAAAGTTACCCCCATATGATTACAAAATGAATTTAAAGATGAAGAGCTTCGTAAACTCACTGGTTATTCGAAAGAATTATTATTTGAAGAAATTGGAAAAAGGAAAAATAAAGAATTAAAAAAAGATAATCAAAATATTGAAGAAAAAATAAATGAATCAAATGAAATTGTTGAAGTAAAAGATAAAGAAACTGATGAAATAAAAAAAGAGAATGAAAATATTGAAGACGAAACAATAAATAATTCAAATTTAGATGAATCTGCCGAAATTGTTGAGATAAAAGATGAAGAAAATAATAATAATTTGGAGGTGCTTCTTGAAGAAAATAAATTTAAAGACGAAAATTTATTTGGACAAGAAATGGTTGAAGAAGGAAAACTATCATTTAATAAATTGGACCATGAAATAATTGCGCTTATAAATTTGAACGGTAATAAAAATATATACCTAATTTAGTTGCTGTTAAATAAGGGGCTGGAAACCAGTTTGAAAACGACTATCTGAAAACGATATTTCTGCATAAATCCGGCCCTAGAGATTGCTAAAGAAAACTCCGTATTGATTCTTATCTCCGATCGGTTCTTATGAATTTATACTGAGAGATAAATCAAGATAACGATTTCGGTCTATCACAATCCAGAATCGGTATCGGGATCTGCATTATTCTTCGAAAATTCCGATACCAATTTTATGCCAGAATACAGTACAACTCTAATGCACACATAAAGTTATCCGATTCACTTAATTTTTAAATCCAAACATCCTTCTTTTTTAAGAATTAAATTTTATAAATTTTCCAGATTTATTCGAATATAGTCAATTAGAATCAACTGAATTAACAACCAAATTCAAAAATTATTTATCAGAATTATATTCAACACTAATGCAGAAAACCCAGAAGGATAAATTATTTGATCAAATGTTATTATTTATTAATATTTGTTTAATGACTAAATTAATAGAAGAAAAATTGGAAATTAAAAAAATATTATTAAATATAAATTTAAAAGAAAATAAAAAGAAAAATGACGATTTAAATAAATTTAAAAAATTAAAAAATAATTGGGCAAAATTTAAAAAAATAAAATTTATTAAAAATTATGATTACGTTGATGACAAGAATGAAGTTTTTGAAAATATTTTGAAAGAATTAATTAAATTTTATAATAATTTAATTATTTTTGAAGAAGAAATCATTTCAATTCAAAATTTTGGGTAGAGCATTTTCTTAACATTGATAATGTATATCCTCTAAATTTCATCCCTTTCAAAATATTTTTTAGAGAGTTAGCGTGTCTTATGAGATATTATTTCAATGCTGAATCAGAAGCCAGATTTTGAACTGCTCTGAGGCAAAGCCATGCCAGACCCATTATTCAGCACTGAATAGAACATTTGAAACTAGATCAGCCATCCATCGTTGCTTTACGAGTATACTGACTTTCTGATCCGAATTTTTGATTCAATAAGCCTAATCACAAACTTGATTTAATAGAATATTCTTTCTTTCAATATTAGCTTTGGTTAACCCAGTGATGAAGTTTAAGTACATTAACTAAGGTGCATTAAACACTACCGTATTTTATTAGTTAGATACGCGTTATTAAATAAATTGAAAATTTTTTAAATAAATACCTAAATAATTTTTTAAATTTAAAGTCAAATCCATTTTCTTGTATTTTCTTTATTAATGTCAAAGAATACAAAAATAGATGAAAATAATGGAATTATTAATATTCCTTCCAAAAATTTTCTAAATTTTGAAAATTTTGTTAAAAATGATGGAGAAATAAAAGAATTATTTTTTGAAAGATTTTATTCAATTATTAATGAAAATAACAAAGAAAATAAATTATTTGTTAATAGTAATAATGAAGTATTTATTCAACTTTTTGTTGGAAATATTAAAAGTTATATAAAAATGTTTGATCAACAATTAATTGGTAGTTCATTTATTAAATGAGAGATTTTCTAGCTTATTTTTTGTATTAGTTGTATAAGTCAGCATAGTAATTATAATAGACAGTGTAAGTGTCAGTCTAATATAGGGTCCGATGTTAAGGAGCGCGAGCTCTGAATAGACCTCCCTCGTTGACCGTGGTATTTCTTTCCTTGATGAACGGGAATAGATACTACGTGGAATAGAGTGTACTCGCGGAGCTTGCATTTTTGAGTTGGAGCTTATATTTAGGAATTAAGATTATTTATAAATTTAGATGATAATTTAAATAAACACATGGAATTATCAATACAATCAGAACCATTAAAAAATAAATATAAAAATGGAAAATGGATTTTTGGAGAAGGATTTTATGAAATTAGTCAATTAATTTATTCAAATAAAAGAAAGGAATCAAAATTAGAAATTAAGTTAAAAGAATATTTGGATAATATTTACAGAATTAGTCAAAAGGAAATGAAAGAGAGAGAATTAACGGAGGTTTGGATTGAAAAACAGGTTGAAGAATGGCTTAAAAATATTTGTAAAAAATCTGGAAATAAATATGGAGGTACTTAAAAGTATTTTATACGTTTTCCCGAGAGTTTTTAATGCCTTTTCCCTTTTTTCATTTAAACATGCTTGTTCTCAATACGTGGGTGGTTCGGGCGAAAATAAAGTTCCATTTTTGCCTCATAATTTACAATAATTTAAAACTGAAGTTTTTAGGTTATTCAAAAATAATTGCTGGATCAAATCTTTATGGTATTCAAACATCTTCATCAGATCTGGATATAATTTTTATTATTCCAAAAAATTGTTTAATTCCCAAATCAATTAAATGTCAAAAATGTAAAAAGGAAATAAATTCAATTAATTCGAGAATGTGTAAAGAACATGATAAAATTTTCGGAAACAGTCACGATTCGTTATATGAAACGTTATACAAAGTATTTATTGATGATAATGAAAAGAAATTTTCAAAGGTAAAAGAGTGATAATTTATTAGTTATTATCTGTTAAGGGATTTTTGATTAACTACATAAAACTCAATAATAACCTATCCCAAAATAGAAAAAACGAGTGATGGGATTTATCCATAGAGCTCTTACTATTACTAAAACTTTTATGTATATCCCCACAACTTGTAAGCACTTATTTAAAATTTCTAGTTTACATTAGGTGTCCGATCTCTCTAGTTTACATCTATGTCTGGACAACCATTTCTTTTATTTTTGAGCCTAAATAACGCAATAATTTAATAATATAGCTAAATACAATTGCAAATACAACAGTACCTCTTTTTGATATAAACCTTAATGGAATTGATATGGACATAATGATTGCCCCAATTGCAAGAGATGAAGTTTCAGATACTTGGAATTTTAATTTAAATAATGACGAAAATTTAATTAATAAAAATTCAGAATTAATTGATAAATTAATTAATGAAATGTTAATTGATGGAAATAAATTATTTACAAAAAGTATTGTTATGTTAACAGGTGTAAAATAAATTTTTATAAAAAATTTAATTTATTAATTATTAGGTTATCGAGCAGCTTTTAGACAAATGTTTGTTTTGTTGGATAAATCCGAAAGAGAAATTTTCAAAAATTTGCTTAAAGCGATTAAGCATTGGGCAAAGCGTATGTTTTATTATATGCTGTCAAAATCATCTCCCCGATACTGATTCTGTTCAGGAGCCAGACCGATCTAGCTGGATTTTCCTGGATAGTCTAGTCTGGAAATAATCCAGAGATTGCGAAAATAAACTCGGATTAGGTCCTAAGCTTCAGAAAAATCCACCGTTTCAGGTATTTAAAGCAAAAATTGTAGTTATGCTGATCGGTCTGAAAATCGAACAAATATTGTAGTTTATGCTGCTCGGTCTGAAAATACTGGCTTTTGATAACTAGTACGCAATTGACTAACCCCGACGGATTAGTCACTATTGTATTCCGAAGTTTGAATATTAAGTAGCAGAAATAATTAGTTTTTAGCAATAAAAATGTTTTTCTTAATTTATAAGTGTTTTACGAAAGCCCGACGGCTTTTCGATGACACGATGTATGTTAAAGAGAATTGTGTTAGTCCTGATCCCAACGTATACTCTAGGGGTTTTATCCGGTTGATACTCCCCTATTACATACCTTACTATTTATGTCGAAATATACTTAAACGATTTATTTAATAGATAAATATAATAAAAAAATTTATTATTAAAAAAAATTAATTAAAATTGAACAATAATGAACATAAAATCGGTTAAAAAATTTTCTTATATATGTAATAGCGGCATGGGGTGTGGGCAGTCATATTCTTCCTTCTGTCCAATAGTCTGGGAAAAGTAACTTGGCTTTGTTGGCGATCGTTATGTTCCTAGCTTGCAAAACTATTTTTCTTACTGTTCCAAGGTTATTATGATTTTTGGCATTCTTTGGCAGTCGTTAAATAAATCAAAAATATTTTTTTACCTAATTTATGAAATTTTAAAGAGAAACAAATATATTCAAACATGTTTGGATATTTGAGTGGAACTATTTTATCAATAATGGCAAACAAAATATGTTTATTATATCCTTCTGGATCCCTCTCATTTTTATTTCACAAATTCTTTATTATTTTCTCAAAATGGTTAGAGAACTTTATTTTAAAATTAAATTATTTTAATTTTAAGGGATTGGCCCAAACCTTTATTATTAGAACCTTTAAGCACAAAAGACGATTTAGAAAAATTGGGAAGAATAAAATTACAATTTAATTCGTGGCAAATTAAAGATATTGAAAGCGAAGGAAATTTA